ATTCAGTAATGATTTCTTCAAGTTCCCCCAAAACCCCTAAACCCAAATAATCATAACAGAGAATTATGATGACTTAGCAAATATATTAATCAAACTAGAATTAGATATCATTTTTGAATATTTTATTATTGACCGTTACCAAGGTAAGTAGTTCTTCTGCCACTTCCTGCTCTGTTTTAAGAACCGAAAAGGTCTCTCTCTAAAAATAGTTATTGATTCATAATTATAAACTTACTGACATTAACATTCTCCTTTTCTTTCTATTGTCTGATATTATAGATAGGAGATGGTGACTATTTAGCATGAGCCATATACTCGCTGTTTTATTTCTCATCCAAGAAGCCATCGACATGAATACGAGAGGGCTGTTTATATTGATTTTATTGATCAGATGAGTTTTATATACTCATAAACTCACTATTCTAAGAAGGATTTCCAATCGGAGATCTCTTCTGATACATAGCTGAACTATTTTATATGAAGGAACCTTGTCCCATGACCATTCCTGGATTCGACATTATTTCGATTTATTACTTGCATATGACTTTTTCTTTTTCAAGTATCTCGATTCTACATTCATACTTCTTAATTTCTCTCTCTAAGTCTTTTAATTCTCGTTCCTTAGTTGAGACATGGTTAGAGAGCATTGAAATGATTTCCATACATTTCTTTACCTTGGTCGGGCCATTATATTGCATGAGTTTTTCATTCGTCTCCTCGGTGAGGCCTATAATTTTAAATAATCCTGGTTGAGATAGAATGTGATCAACTAATCTATTTATAGTTTCTTAATAAGTCATATTATCCTTCCTCATCTTTTTTAAATCCTCTCTCATGATAAGCATCTGGTCTGAATCTTGTCTCTAGGTTGAGGGCATCTGAGATGTATCCATCATCATACTCATTTCAGTATTATTCTAGAGACTCTTCTAAAGTTTACTAATGGTTTCAAGCTTTCTTCTTAATTCTTCTTACAGCCTTGTATTTTCTTCTCTGAGTTTGTTGTTATCTTCCTTGATCTTTACATGATACTATATCTTGTAGTTTGGATTTTTATTACCAACAAGCATATCATTTTCTCTATTGAGCTTTTCAATCTCTTTTTCTAGTCTTTGTTTTTCATCTGAAAGGAATTTCATAGTTCTAATCAAGTCTTTCATTTCAAATTCTCTCTTAGTGAGAGAGTTTCTTAAATCCTTGTTTTCCTTCATCATTTACTCAAGAGCTTATTTATCTCTTTCATCAGCATTCTGTTGATCTTCAATTTGCCTATCCTTTAGCTTAATTAAATCTTTGAGATTTTCATTTTCCTTTCTTTGCTTCTCCCATTCTGACCTCAGTTGCTTTTACTAATCCCTGGACTCTTCAAGTCTCTTCTTCGACTTCTCATGTTTATCCTTAAATTCATTTATATTCTTTTCTAGTTCCTTCATTAGTTCATTTTCTTTCTGCACCATTTTTGAGATTGTGTCTTTGCTTGACTTTAGCATTTGATTTTAGTCTTCGTTATCTTGTCTCAACTTAGCTATCTGATGATTTAGATCCTTAGCATGGTGTTTATAACCTTCATATTCTTGCTTAACAGCATTAATTTTCGCTTAGGATTCCTGCTCCATTAAAACAATCTATTAGTTATGTTCTCTATTCAAAGAGTTAACAGTGTCCTCAAGTAATAGTTTTTGTTTCTTTAGATCTTGCTGTAATAGTTGATTCTGCTAGTCTGATTGATTATGATTCAAATGCAATTAATCGATCAAAGCTTGCTATTTTTAAATTCTCTCTTAATACTGCAGTGATTGATTATCCCTATCAATAATTTATGAAGTAAGAGCCTGCATGTCTTGCTCTTTTTCAATGTGTATCATACTGATCTAATCAGAAAGATCTTTGTTCCTTTACTCCAGAGTAGTGAGATTTTGACGAAGATTTTATATCTCATTTTACTGTTCTTTCTCGCACTATGATTATTTATGAGAAGCTGAATTCAACTGTTATTCGAGGGACTATATAATCGTTCTGTTGTCACTTATCTAGTTCTAAAGCTAACTGATATTTTCAATGAGATTTTGAATTTTTTCATTTCTCTCATTGATTATTTATAAGTTTCTTTAAATATCACTTTAAAGTGACTACGTTTCTTTTTGCAAAGCATCATTTTATGAAAGTGATGTATCAATTTACCTAGATATGATTTGATTGTCACTTAAAGTTTGCTAGAGCATTTCTTAAATCTTAGCTTTCTAAGAAATAAGATCCTGGACTTAGCAGGTGAATTTGTAAGCTTTTTCTTCTTCCTCCTACAAATTTTTATTAGCTTCTATAACTTGAGCTTGAAGTGTATCATTTTCCACCTCAATAATTTGTAATTTAGCTTCAAGAGTTTTTACAGTATCTTGCAACTTTTCTTGTTCCTAATGAACCCTTACATCCATCTATTGCTTGGTTTCGTCTAATTAAGTTTGATATTTTACAAGAATCTCTTCCTTTTGCTCTTTTGCTTGAACTAATTCAGTCTCCTTTGCTTCTATTTGTTTGGCATTAAATACTAATATTTCTTATTTTTGCAATTCAGCTTCAACATTAATCTATTCAATTTAGACTTGATGAGATTCAATTAGAACCTATATTTATTATTCTAGCTCTTTTTATTTCTCTTCCAAATTTTAGCTTAATAATTCTTGATATGTTTTTTTACCCTCCTCAACTTCAATAATTAATTATTTAATAGACTCTTCTTTCTAGATTTATACATCCTCCAATTATTGTTTGAGTTTCGTAATCTCTTGTAAATGATTCTCACTCTTCTGATCGAATTTCTCTTATTATTCCTAAATTTACTAATTGAGTCCAATTGTTATTTATTATACTTTTAGTTCAGCTTCTTGGATGATATTATTTTTCTCTTGTTTAAGAACTTCAATTTAGTTCAAATAATTTATCTCTATTTATTTAACATATGTTAAGTGATTAGTCTCGATCTCTGTTAGTGTTTATTCTTTTTCATGAATTATCTGTTCCTTTTATTCCTGTAGTTTCAATTCAGTTTAAAAAACCTACTGCTGAGCTAATTGTCTTTCCTCTTCTACCTTTTACTCCATTTTTTAGATTTATGACTCATACTCTTGTATTTTTTACTTTAATTACTCCTGAATCACCTAAACCAAAGTATTTTGGCTTGTTTAAACTTATTGAATCTCCTCCTTCTTTTCTTGCTCTATATTATGAATAGTTTCAATCAAAGATTGAGCCTTTATTTAAGTTGCTTCAATTACTTAATCTTTCTATTGAATTTCACTTTAAAGTTCCTCTAAGGCCCTTGAAAACTCTTTCATCCTTATAGCAAGCTCTTCTTTTAACTATTACTTTTCCTCATTGAGAGTTTATATTTCTTAGCTTTAGTCATTCATCTTTCTATCAGAATTCATGGCTAAGGAAGTTAATCTTTCTTCGTATTCTTGAGTTGTCCTTTCAATCTCTTGCTAGAACTATTGTTGAATCTAAGTTACTCTTTCAATGTTCTAATCTAGCATTTATTCTAATTCTGATCTAAGATGATTTATTTCTTGCTTCATTATTTTTTCTTATTCAATAGCTGCCTCTTTTTCCTTTACAACCTACTCAATATGATTCTATGCTAACTAATTCTATTATTCGCTGCTCTCATTCAGATCTTAGATAGAATTTTAAAGATTACTAATAATCTCTAATTTTTGTTCCACATCTTGCTCTAATGTAGAAATCCTTGAAGATTGACTTTCAATTTTTTACAAATGAGTATCTATTTGCTAATTAAGCTCATCTCTAGATGTAATGATATCCTAGATTTCTTATTTTATGTCACTTAAAGCTATTTAAAGATCTTTCTTATCTGCAATTGCAGAATCTAATTTAGCTTATAATTACTCCTTTTATAATAGATGCGATTCTAATTATGATTATAATTACTAAATATTCTCAGTATGTTCTCCGTTATCTAACTCAAGCTTATCTTTGAGTTCTTACTGCTCATTAGTAATTTTGCTGATGAGGCAATCTTTTTCATGAATGGAAGATTGAATCTCTTGAATTTATTCTTCTTTGTACATTAAGCTCTGTTGTATAGTTTCATTTTCTTATTCAAGTGATCTTATTTTATCATTGCATTGTTAACATTATTCTTCCAACATATGCTTTTCACTAGACTCCTCAAGAATCTTTCTCTAAAGCTACCTAGATTACTCTTCCCAGTATTCTTCTCTTTCCTTCAAATACTGTTGGCTTTATTTTCTCTCATTTTCAAGATTTTATTCAAAGTGATCAAGACTTTATTTCAGTTTAGCTTCAATTTTCAAGTTGAGCTCTTCAATATCTTTTAACTTGCGATTGAGCTCAGCAATTTCCGTTTAATAATCAGCATATTTAAGTTGATACTACTTCTCTGCATCAACTTTAGCATCTCTCTCTTTTGATAACTCCTAATCTTTTTCAATAACTTATATTCTTAGAATAGATATTTCCTTCTCTTATTCACTCTTATTATCATTGATTTGAGCAATCTCATTCTTAATCTGCTCAACATGCTCTTTGTTAGCTTTATCAAGATCTTATTTGTCTTTTTAATGATCTTAGAGCATTCTTTCAACTTAGAGCTTATAGTTTCCAACCATTTCATTATAATCTTAGACTTATTTCTCATATTTATCTTTTATGTCAAATTCTTTTTCTTTTATCTCTGCAATTTTTTCATTTAGTTGTTCAATCTTTTCAGCATAGTCTAACTTAACTTTAGAGAGTTCATTTTCAACTTCCTTCTTGCTCTCTTCACAGTATAGTTTTAAATACTGGTTAAGGGATTCATTAAGCTCCGTGAGGGTTCTCATTTAAGCAGATAGGGAGTCTGGTGACTATTTGTACTCATTTTTAAGTTAGTCTAACTTGTTTTGTAAATCAGCTTTTTCTGCAAAAAGTTTAGCTGCTTGTGAATTATGCTCAGCTGCTTCTTTCCACTATTAGACTTCTTTCTTAAGATCTGTAATTTACTTTTACTAATCATCTTTAGTAACTGGCTGATTCTATTCCAGTTTGCTGATCCTCTCTTCTCTAAACTTGATAATCATCTTATCCCTTGCACATTACTTCTCATATGATTCAACTGCTTGCTATAATTTCTTGTTTTATTATTGATTCTTGAGTATCTCATTATCGTAAAACTTTTGTTGACTCGCCAAACTATCTAAGTTTGCAGTCAGAAGTCCTTCTAGATGAACGACTCTTTTTCGCATTTTTGAAAGATCTTCCTTTTAATTTTTGAATTTTTACTTAAGTACTTCATTAAGTGGGCTTTGATGTGTTGTATTTAAAACTGTAGAATCAAGATCCTCACATACTGAAATGTTATTAATGAGCAATTCATCCTCTTCCTCTTGGTTAATCTCTGATCCAATCAAAGCTTTACAAAGAGAACATTATCCATTAGGATTGCTAATATCTATATTTTTGTACATCTTTTCATTTTCAGCTAACTCTTTCTTCAGTCTACTGATTTCACTTTTAAGCAGTTAGATTGTTCCACTGGAATCTTCGTTAATAATTGCTTTATTTCTAATTAATTTAGCTCTCTGAGCAAACTTTAAAGTTGATAGAGTCTCTCCAAAACAGATGCTTGAGGGAGAAATATTTGCAATTATAACAGTCTTACTGTTACCGCCAAGAGAATCTCTGAGCAAGAATGTGAGCTTACTATCTCTGTAGTGTACATGTCTGCTTTTACCCTCAGAAATATCAACGAGTGAGTTTATCACATTTCCAAGAGCTGACAAACTCTTGTTAATCATGCCAGCTTCCTTAAGCCTTTCACCGACTGCATTAGTGTATTTGGATCTTTCTGAACCTGCAAGATCGATGATATGAAATCTTGAGGTTTTGATATTCCATACGCCTCCGTCTCTCATAGACTTAGTCTCAATGATTGTAGTAAGAACAGAGTGAGATCGCGAACTTTCCTTGTTCATAGAAGTTGAACCAACATGTCTGTTCTTCGCTCCAGTTTGAATAATTCCAATCATATCTTAAGCATTTAAAACTACTTCTTCCTGAAGACCCTCAACATATACTCCTTTCTTAATATCCTCTCTAATGTGCAAATTAATAGAATTTGGGTCTAATAAGTCCATAATCTGCTCGTTATAGATTTCTAAGTAGCTGCACCTTATTAGAAAATCAAACTAAGAATACTCAGGGGAATTTTCTACAATTTATCTTTATTTGTCAATGCAGTCGAATATGTATTCGAATGATCTTTGCATTATGCCTCTCTTGTCATGGTTCACTTTGTTTTCATCATCTTTGAAGCTACCGTAAATGTGTTCTTCTCCGTTTACGACAATACTGGGACCTTAAATAGTAAAGGTCTTCCCTGCTCCAGTTTGACCATATGCAAATATAGAACCATTGTAACCTTCTAAGCAGCCGTCAGCTATAGGTTTGGCTATTGAATTGAAAATAACCTCTTGTTCGATATTTTCATCTCCAACGAAATCAAAGTTGAAATACTTGAAATCTGGCTTTGACTCTATAAATATTGTTGAATCATTCTCAACAGTGACACACTTCTTATGACCTCCATTTCCTAATTTAAATTCATTAATTTCATCTTATTACCTTTTTCTCTTTCATTAAGTGGTCTAACTCTTATTACAACCTTTACGTTATCTTTGCAATTGGTACCATACTGAATCTAGTTTCCACTAGACTAGCTTCTATTGTCCAAACTTGCGATACTTTTAGTATCTAGTAAATCCATCTACAATAATTGTTGGTTTCCTTGACAAAATTGAAAGAAGAGGACATTACCTTAAATCAAGACTAATTTTAAATTTAAATTTCTTAACAAATCTAATAATTTATTTTCACTTAATGGTTAAGTTTACGTTAATTCGGGGTTTTGTCAAGGAAACCAACAATTATTGTA